TTAGTATTTTGGAACTGATTTATTTCAGTTTATTGCTTCTCTTTTTTTTTTTTTGTAATATGTTGTTGGAAGGAAATCAAATTTTTCTGCTTGATTTGGTGTCTCTATTGAATCAGTAAGCAAAAAATATTTTATGCACCAGCAGAAAGAGTTCCTAGTTCTGAAAGCTGGTGTATCGCCTCCATCAGCTCTGGTTCCTCGTGCTTTGCCAGCAAAACGGGATCATAGCAATGACAGGCTGGAAGGAGCATGGCTGACACATTTGGAAAGAGAGTGACTGGGTCATTCTACCACTGTGTTTTACTTGCTTTTAAATACTTCTTTCAGTGAAGATTCCACATCCCCCCTCTGCCTTTCCTGTTCCCTTATCTGTTCTACTGGATTTTGTTTCTCCTCAGTCTCTTCTAGAATCAGCAGTTACAGGATATTTGGTTTTTCATGCATGTTCTCTTTGACCTTTGATTGTACTTTTTCCTCTCCTTTGGACACTGTCCCAGTTGGTGTTACAGTGAGGTGCTGAGATGAAACAAAACTCCAGCTGAGGCCTTGCCCAAAGCGAAGGATAGCAGAAAGATTACCTTTCATTCACAAAGGATTTTACTGCCTTTGTGCATCCCATTGTAACGATGACTTTTTATGCAACAACGTGTTGTTGTTATGTTCGATTTATGATCCCAGATGATTTTCTGAAGAACTGTTCCCCAATCAGTTGTGTCTCATTCTCTGTGGGTTTAGATAATTGTTCTTGCTGCAACAAAGAGCCTCTGACCACTCCTTATTCAAATTCTTCATGTTGTTTCTCCAAGTTGACACTATTGCTTTGATTTGAAGTCTTGTTCTCTTGATACCATTTTAATTCACTTAGCTTTGTGCCTCTGCAAGTTTAATAAGTGTATACTCCGTTCTACTGTCTGAGTTGTTAGTGAAAGTGTTAAAGGGTCAGATCAGGCCAAACCCCCGTAGCACACAACTCGGTGTGTCCTGTTTTGGTATAGAACTACTCTAAGTTCAACTTTTCAAACAGTTTCACATCCATATGGTGCCTATTTTTTCTAACTCATTTATTCACTGGTAGCTTATGAGAATGCTGTGGGAGATGGTAACCAAAGCCACACTAAAGAGAAGATACATAGTAATGATTGCTTTTCATCCATCCTTAAGACCTGTTACTGCATCCCAGAAGTAAATTACACTGTATATGACTTATATCTAGTAGTCAAGATGTATCAAGAATCTTTTTGTTCCTTCCTAAGCACTTAAACGTTATTTGATTATTTGGTCCTATATTTCCCTAGTTTGAGTGGTGTACAAGGCCTCTGCTTTTTTTTTTTTTCTCCTTAACCCATATTTTTTAAAGATAGTTGCTACACTTCATCTTTTCATTGACCCACAGTCACTTATTCTCCTCTAGTTCTTGACAGTGAGGATACATCCCTTCATTTGATGCTTTTCCTATTTTAGATGTTTCTCTTATTAATATTTGCAGAGTAATCTCTTGTTATTACTGGCATCCCTTGCCAGTTGTCTCATCCTGCGCTTGACCCTCTTCTGTTTGTCCCTACATGCTGTGTTCCTTGAGACTTGTCAGTTGCAATCAGACCTCATTTGCACTTTTTGTATTCTGCTTTTTGTGTTTGAGCTCAATGAAGAGTTCATGAAGTAGCTAAGTTGATCTCTTACTGCATTGCCTATTCGTCCCTTTCATCAAGGGCAGAATGCAAATTACCATAATGTAATTTCTATACAAAAATAATAGTTCACCTAAATTCTTTTCTGTTCCTTTTTAATTTCCCTTTTCTATGCAATATAACCTACTAATTTTTCTAGACTATTGAAGTTTGCCTACTTGATGTCCATTGTCTTTATCTTAACTCTTCACTCGCCTTCTCAAAAATCACAAATAACCCAAGCTGCCTTCCAGCCCAAGTTTCTCATGAAGCTTTCTCCTATTGATTAGGATAAAAATCTAGAAGAATTTTTTTTTCTCCCTCTCTTTCTCCCTTCTTTATCTGCATGCATTAACCAGTGTGTGTCTTGGCCAATTCTTCTGATTGCTTGTGAAAAATCTGGTTCATTTGACCTTTCTTGATTTAGTGGTGTATCAGCCCGTTGCTACAATACTGCTGCTGCACTTCTGAGCAGGTGTTTGTATCTCTGACATACCAGATACAGCTGGTTATTTTTGTTGTTGTTCAGTTGGAATTCTTTGGTTTTGTTTTTCCTTGACCTGCTCTTCTTAAATGAATGGTTCTTTTTATGGTAAGGCTAGAGGGTGGTGATTAGTTGGATTTTCAGTATAATCTCCATGTGCAGATTTACTGGGGTGAGCAATGGCGACTTCAGTACTCTGTTAGCACTAGTGGATGCCACGTGTGTTTTGACACAACAGGATGTGATTGTATGACTCCATCCTTGCCTTCCCAAGGAGGTTGGATTTCAGGCATCCTTGCCTCCAAGTGGCTTGACCAGCTCTTGTTCAAAAGTGCTGATACCAGACTCTGTGTAAACAGTAAGCAGTTATAAAAGGAAGAGTATTCTGTTTCTTTTTTACTGGGTTAAGCTGCATTTTGCTGCCTTTGAAGCTGTGAAACTCCTATTAAAGAATCTTTATTTTACCCTGTAGAGTTAAAAAGTGCACTGAAAGCATAGAACTTTGCATACAAAGCTGGACAGGGTACAAGAACCTAGACATATAAAGACAAGAACTTTATATTCTGTTCAGCAGCAGACCAGCCAGAACTTATTCATGTAATCTGAAAGAGAAGAGTGGAGATTTTTTTTTTTTTTTTTTTAGATTTTTTTTTTTTTCCTTCATTAAGGAGCCATCATGAAGCTGTTACTCCGTCCTTATTTTCCTTGTGAATCTGTGAGCCCTAACATAGTCAAGTAACTCTAGGTGTGGATTCCTGAATGATGTTATGCGTTATCCCATACCAGGTGATCTTAATGGTCCCCTTCTGTCTGGGCCTGTGCAGAGATGAATGTAAGAGTGGATTTTCTGCCTTTGTACAGGCTGAGAACTTCCTTATGCCACAGACCAGTAAAAAAAGCCCCATCTATATAAACTGTGCAAAGGGAGTGGGGGAAAGATCTGTTCAAATACATTTAACAGTGTGATTTATATTACATATATAACTATCAATATGTCATCTTAACCAGACTGTGGAAAGCCTTTCATCAGATGTCTCTAAAATCAGGCTATTTTGAATCTTTCCTCACTCACAATCTGCATTCTCAGAGAGCACAAATTAGAGTTACAGCTTAGAAGACCACCGATTACAGCTGTGATGGGCATTTTGCCACAGATTGATGAAACCCATTTGTCCTGACCAAAGGAGAGCAATTCAGCTAGTACAATATAAATGGAAACACCATATATGACTGTTTTTTTGTAAGCTTTCTGTAAGTTGTGAAAAGTAATTTTAAACATTTGGAATAGTTTTAAAGGGGGGGGTGGGGTGGATTTGTGAGGGGGGGGGGGGGGGGAAATCCAGATGTTTAGATGTCAAATACATGACAGTGTTGGAAACAAACAAGTAAAATATAGAATACTACTTCTAATGAGGTTACCTTACTGTTTGCTGGCTAATCTGTGTTTGTGTGCTAGCTGACCAATAAGCAGAAACTTAATTTTCAAGCCAGACGAACCATGTGCTGCTTTTTTGACATGCAGTCACATGGGATGGGAATGAAAACATTTTGGTATAATACTTGGGGACATTAGAGTAAGCTTAAAACTTTGTGGAGGAGATCTGGGAGACCTATGCTGACAGGACATTGAAGACCCAAGAAGGAGCTGATGGTTTTGTTATGTGATGAGAGATGCTGAGATTTGGCTGTGGGCATTTCTGTGGCAGGGATTGCAGCAGACAGGGAAGATTTGGCATTATTGCAGTGAAGTATGTAAGAGATCTCTAAGGGTATCAGGCTAGCTTTGCAAATTGCAGATCCCCTCTTTTACTTGTGTTACTGCATTAATATAGTTGCTTTACACATGCCTTGAACAAGTGAGGAAATTTTTCCCCTATAAATAAAAATCTAAATTAAAATGAGGGTATAAGCTGAGATTTTATTTCACATCCATAGTCTGTGATGACTGCATCATCAGGAAACCCAAGACGAACATCAGATAAGCTGCTGTAGCAAAGTTGTGGTCACCCCGACATCTATGGCTGTGGAGGCACTGTTAAATACCTTTATTCAGTATGCTTTTCTGGTGGTTATCTACAATGTGTTAATATTCTACTGACAGACCTTCTTTTTTTATTAAATTAGTAACCAAAAGCCATTAGAAAATATTCTATTATCTAAATAATAGAATATATGTTATTCTATATATTCTATATATCTATCTATATATCTATATATTATTTATTCTAAATAATAGAATATTATCTAAATAATCATAATCTAAAATAGAAATAAACATCAGGAACAGATATCTTTATAAATCTTATAATTGACTTGATATTAAAAATGTGCATTATTTTCCAATATTCTCCTTTACTGTGGTTTGAATTCAGAGATTTCATAGTACAACTACTTTAAAAATGAAGCTCAGTATTTAGGCTAACGAAAACATACAGTTAAGTAAAATAAGTGCTAATGTCTGGTACTTCTTTCAGTATCTGAGCTGTTCCTTTATCCTGTTTGTTTTTGTGGTTTTGGACTTGAAATATGCCTCACTGGAATAAGTACTGAGGGTAATTACATATTTTCTAGTTATATTTTCTCCTTACCTGCTCAGTATTTTCTTACGTTTGAGAAGATAGCATATATTGCTTTTTCTACATCTTTTACTAATCAGAAATATTTGTAAAAACCTCTCAGCTTTATAGAAGTGGCATTTTTAGCAGTGATGGTTATTACACTTATTTCTGTGAAAATCAGTGTTGCAGAAAAGCTTCTGTGGAGATGGTGAGTGGGAAGAAGGTCTAAAATGTGTACTTGTAGATTTTATGTTGGGAATTACATAAGTGACAGTTTGTCTTGTTTCTCAGCCATATTATGTCTGAGTATGTGAGGATGACAGATACAGAGCGTGATCAGATAGATCAAGATGCTCAGATATTTATGAGGACGTGTGCAGATGCCATTCATCAGCTGAGAACAGAAGGTAAACTGAGCAACTCGTAAATGTTTTATTCTTAGTTATTTATAAAGGCTCCTGTAATGCTGAATATTGGATGGTGAATCTGCAGTGCTTTTCAAAAGGGATTGGTGAAGTCTCGTTGCCTTTTTGTTTGCTTCTGTGTAATCCCATTGGCTGATTAGGACTGTACTTAATTTTCTTTAATGTTAGTGAAAAGAGAAGCCAGAGCATAGAACTTTATTTATTTGTTCAGATACACTAATTAGCAAGTATAAAAAAGATAGTCTTAAATATTTACTACTTGAATAGTAATTTATCACTGTGGCACAGAGGCCTGAACCAAGGGTCACTAAGTTCAATGGTTGTCTCTTTCTAGCTTGTCCACCTATAAGGTATTAATAGTATAATCTTTACAAGTTTGAGATAATTAAATAACTTTAACAGAGCCCTGATGAAGTAACAATGTTTTTGACAACTTGAGTATGAGATCATACCTTAACAACACTATCTTATAAAAATTGTAGAGAGAACTTCTGTTTTGCCACTTTCAAGTTGACTTCCTCTGTGTGTGTTTTATCAATACAACAAAGATTTTCATCAGCTTTGAAATGCCATCTAAACACAGTTGTAGCATTATTCAGAATCCTTGAAAATCAGTCATGCATGGGAGCTACATAGTATCAAAATAAGAAATATTAATATATGTGAATTGAAAGGATCCTTGGCACAATAAATCCCAAAGATTTCCACGTAGTCCATACACTGGAGAATTTAAAATATGAGAAGTTCAGTATTTTAAGCAAGTTAAATCTCTGGATCGTTTTTGCTTTGCTTAGCTTGGTGACATCTATTCTTGTTTAGAAATTTAATTGGCATAATATGACTCAGTGGCATATATAACAAATCAATAACATAAATATTGTAAGATGCTGGTTGTTTTCAGCCTTTGGTTTGTTGTAACGGTTTGCTGTTTTACAGTACTTATATTTAAATGTAGCTATGTTTAAAATAAATGCTAATATATAACATAAATAAGATGTTAATAGGCTTTTGAATATGACTTGTGTATCAACTGAAAACATGAAAATTTTGTGCAATTCAGTAAAAAGTTAAAAGATTCTGTTATATTTTTCTTTTGTATTTCAGCACACAAGGGTGTCCAGTCTGCTCAGGTAAAGGAGCACAGAACAGCTGTCTTGGACTTCATTGAAGATTACTTAAAAAGTACTTAGTATTTATTGAGTGGTTAAAATGAATTATTGTATTTTCCAAGAAAGAAATCATGCTCTTCTAACGTGAAGTTTTGTTTACTGCTGTCTTGAACAGGAGTGTGTAAGCTGTATTCTGAACAAAGAGCCATCCGAGTTAAGCGAGTGATAGATAAGAAGAGACTGTGAGTAGTGTCAAAAAATAGTTTAACTGTGCTTTTCATTTGTTGGACATTCAACAAAACTATTATGCATGTTTAGATTCTAAGGAGATTGTTTTAATGGAAATCTGTGGTTGAATGAGCACCTTTTGCTGTCAGCAGGTGCGTTCCAGGGCTCTTACACTTCTGGCATGTGAAGTCTGTAAATGGCAGAGTGCCAGTGTAGTGGTGTAATTCTCATTTATGTAAATGTTAAGGCACTGAATAAATAAAATGGGGGTTAATAAACCTGCTGGACTTCTACAAATGTAACAAAATACTTCTGTGTGTGCCATTAAGGTAATATTCTGCATAAAAGAATTCGGAATAAAATCATAGAAACATAGAATGGTTTGGGTTGGAAGGGACCTTTAAAGGTCATCTAGTCCAACCCCCTTCAGTGAGCAGGGATATCCTCAGTTAGTTGGTTGTATGTCTCAAAGATGCTATTTAGGATACTGTCTGGTTAGGTACAAATCTCTCTCTCATTCTCTTTCTTTTTTTTTTCCTTTGTCCTTTTTTTTTTTTTTTTTTTTTTTTAAGGCACTAGCTTTCTGCTAAAGCAAGTGATTTTGTTGTGAATAAATGCTACTTGAGATGGCAGGTCTTCATGGCAAGTAGAAACATGATTAAAATTTAAATCTTGAATGTAACTTTTTAACTGAAACAAAATAGTTTCTGCTTCCTGTTATGGCATATGTTCAGGCTGCTAATGTAGAGGTGAAAATGTGTGGAAGTTAAAGATGATGGTGCTTGGTGGCTTTTTGGTCTGTTTTTTTGGGGGAGTTTTTTGTTTCTTTCTTTTTTCAGTCAAATATCAAAAAATATACTTTTTCAGTTTCTTTTTCTGCACCTTTCCAGATATAAGAACAACAGGGAGAATGAACAGGTTTACAATTTATTTAATACTTGAAAAGCTTTCCATGTCTCCTCAATCTGCATCATTTGAATTCTAACCTTTCTAACCTTAAGTTCCATTATGTACATTTTAGTTTAAGAATAACAAATTCTAGAACGTTCACATCAATAAATAAATTCTTGAGTTTTTTTCCAAGACTTGATGCTGCTTTATCAGTTTGGTGTTTGGCTCAATCAGTCATTTACATTGAAACTAGAGAGATGTTTTCAAAAGTCCATATGTACATTTTATTCAGAGTGATTCAGCATAATTAAGTGCAATTAGATGTACTTGAATATATCCTCCTGAGACATAAATAGTAGTACTAGCCAAAACCAAGTAAACAAAAATCCCTAAACCAGTTCTGAAATTTGGCAAGAAGTAATGAGAGAAAAGACATTTGTATTTTAGTAACTCATATAAGTTCTCAGAAAAAACATACAGAAACAAACTGTGATATTTTTTGTGTGTAAAAATACATAACTTTATCAGTATTCTTCACACTAAAGAACTTGAAAGAAAGATAGCATGGTTCCTGCAGTTATAGAATGGGCTAACAAATACCAGCTCTTCTATTTGTTGTACTCTTGTATTATTGTTTCCATGTGAAATCCCAGGTTCAAGATTTCTCGGTTGACTAAAGAGAGAAAACAACTCTAATTTTATGTATGCTAAACATGGAGCAATGAAAGAGCCATTTCAGAGGTTAGAATACCACTTAAATAAAGAGCAATAAGACATTAAAAAATAACCCGGAAGATGCAACCCTTTTATGTAGTATTGAAGGATACCCCTTTGCCTCTTTTTGCCTTCAACTAGTTGATTTGCAATTTCCTCGAGGATTCCAGCAGGTGCTTTATGTGATAGTAAGAACGTGTTCCATCACTTAAAAGAACTAGGCATTCTTTAAATAGTGCATCTCAGGTATTTTATCAGTTTTTAATTGAAAACTTTGTATGTTAGCATACTGTGCAAAGTAAGGACAACAAACAATAAGGGAATACATTTCTTTAAAAGTAAATTCATCTTAGTGTAAATCTTCTTTCTTGCAATTTAGTCAAAATATATGCATATTGGACAATACTGGAAGGTTTGCAGTAGAAATATACTTTATCATCTTTCCTTTTATACTGATAAACATCCTAAGCTCTTCAACAAATTGTCTGAGTGTTATAAATTTTTTACAAAGTTTCCTTTATGTATTAACTCATATTTTTTGATTAAAAAGTTCTGCCAATTACATAGGCCTAGTTCCCCAGAATGAAAAGCTGAGAAATAAAAACACAAGTAGCTTTTTCTGTAAAGGTACTTGGTTGTGATTTTCAGTTTTTATGTTTATTAGTATTGAAAATTATTATTCATTTCAATTTTAAACTTCTTTTTCCATTAGAAAATCTTGTTAATAATGCATGCAGTTATTCAAATCAAGCTAATATTTTTATTATCTGGGGAATTAATGTTTTATTAGTATCAGAACTATTACTTGAACTGCATGGACATCCAGATAAGTCTCTTTTTCCCTTATTATTAGGCAAATTTGGGACTTGAGAGGGAGGAGATCAGGGAAGAAGAGTTATTTTTTTGTAAAATTAGCAAAAGCCCAGTACTTGTAGAATTTTTAGAACTAAGAAATGTTCCCTGTTACTGTTTTTTCTTGTTTAAATACCATAGTCAGTGATGACTAATGCATTATATTCTGTTTTTTCTCAGAAGTTTCTAATTATGGTTTAGAATTTAGACACAATACAAAGAAGGAAAGGAACACAAAATGCAACACCTTCTGTTAAGCAGCAGGGGAAGATTGCAGATCGTAATGAGATTAACTGTTGGTTGTGTTTGGGAGGGGAGGAAGCTCTGAAGGTGGCACAGCAGGTGATTCAGCCCATTGCTTTTTTTGGTTTTTGTTCTTTAGCTTCTCTAATAGTATAATTGCTCAGCTTTTAACTGTCTACTGTGGAACAGTTACAGAATTAATTGTAGACAATAAACCACAGAAGTTTACTGGAATAAATATGTTGCCACTAATTTTAAACTTTGTTTTGTGCCACAGTGAAATGAACTTGACAGGTGCTTAGTGTATAATCACTGAATTTGCTTCTCATTTGTTGCATTGCACTTGTATTAAAATTATATAGGGATTTAGGTGTAGTATATGTCTGTCCACTGCACACGTTTTCTCTTTGCCTTGCTGCTACGTGGTCTATTGCGTTCTTTCACGGACAAGATACGGATCACTTTCATCCTGGTTAAACTCTTCTTTCATCCTGGTTAAACTATTCTTTGACACTAGTTAAATAAAATACTTTTTTCAGGAAAAAGCTAATTCCATTGTATTTTCTTATTTTTCCTTTATGATAATTGACAATATAAAGTAAAAATGTAATTATTACTTGAAAAAAAAAGAAAGTAATGGTGTTAGCTATTGGTACTAAAAGGAATTTTCAGTATGACCAAAATGTTCTTTGTTTGTTTTTTTTTTTTAAATATGTATTTTAATACACTGGATTTTTAAAAGGAAATTTAATAAAATGTTTGTGTTTTTATGCTGTAGCCTTCAAAATTCTCCTCAAATCTGAACATGTAATATCCCATCAGCAGGGACATGTAACATGTCCCTGCTGATGGCAGGGGGGTTGGAACTAGATGATCTTTAAGGTCCCTTCCAACCCAAACCATTCTATGAATATGTTTTGTTCAGGAATACTTTTGTACTTTCTTTGCCTTTGTAATAATATTTCAGTGAAAGTTGCCAAGTACATTTTGTATCTTGACTGGGAAATCTTTAATGTGAAGTTTGCAAGAGTTAAAGTGTCGAATTTAGTAATCTGTGGTTCTCATTTTAGAGAAATTCAGCTGTGTAATGTCGGTTAAATTATAGGCTCTTGTGCTTCTAGGTCCAGACTTGAACCTGAGCAGAGCAACGTGTCCAAATCGCCTCTTTCCCCTGAAAAATCTTTACAGAATCCTTTAGATGATACTGAAGATAAACTTTCTGCTGAGGACAGCAAAGGTAAGAATAAAACATAGTTATATTTTACCTTCTGTGGCAAGGCCTGTCTGGTCCATAGTACTTCCTTCACATTACAAGGGCTTGTTCCTGTGACTTGCACCTTTTCTATTTTCATCTCCCCGGAGCTGATCAGGCTTTTGTGAAGCACACTGTGAGACAGGAAGCAAGATCTTAAAGTTTTGGACATGCTTTTTGCAATCAGCTAAACAAGTCTTATGCCTTGCTGGATTCCTCATCCTTTCAATAAGCTCTGTGTGAACTCTTTCCTTTTTTTTATTTTTATCAATATCCATCTACTTACATATCATTAGAGATCTGTCTGATTTTTACACATTTCTTTAATTGATGGCAAGGAACTGGAAAGTAGCTCCATGATTTTCTGGGAACATGTTCTAGTTTTTAAGCACAGAGACCTTGAGTTGGACACCTCTACAGTTGGAACCCAAAGGTAGAATATGCTCATAGAGGGGAGGTTACTGGCTAGCTAGACCCAGTAGTTTTGGGGATGTTCTTCTCCACAGCATCGAGTTCCCCTGCTGGAAGGATTGCATTTCATCTTTTGGTGGACAGGAGATAGCCAGAAATCCAAAGCAGTATCTCTGACCAGAGGGTCGTTTCAGCTGTTGCTGTTTTTGACAGGACTTGTGAACACTGCTTCTGAATCCTTGGTGGCCAGCTTCTGAGGCCAGGGGGTTTAAGTCCCTTCTCTTAGCTGTTTTGGTTTGTCCTGGGGTGTGTACACTGGCAGAACTTTGCTGCAGAGTGCCTTTTCAAGTACTACCACAATGCAGATAACTTCAGGTTGCATACCTAAAGAGAAATCTTGTTTCTGTGATTCTGGAATTGCTTTCCATGGCTTGAGTTCTCCTGTTTGAGGAATCCAAGGCACCCTGTGATTTACAGTGTGAAAATTATTTTTGGAGAGAAACATAAACTGTATGAAATATGACATTATATTGGGATAATACTTCATCAAGATAGAAGAAATGTGTTGGAAGGCCATATTATTCTGAGGATCAGTTTCTTTGGTGGTTTTTATTGAAAGAGTGAAGTTCCTCTGGCTGGTGACTGTAGGGCCATACCAAGGCTGGATTCATGTGAAGTGCATACTCCATTTCTGGATGAAGACTCTAACACTGAATTACCTCACAGCGTGCAAACGGTTCCGTTTTCTGATACAGCATTGCTTATCTTCCCGAGCAGTTTGTACTTCTGCAGCCCTATCAGTGTGCTTCCCCCCACCCCCAACACTGGATTTATTGTAAGAAGTAAAGGTTTTTATTATGTGTCATTTCTAGTGCTTGCTATGTTTTTATAGTGTGTCTGAAGTGATGCAGCACACAGGCACATAGATGAGTTTCACCTTAACACGTTATCAGTGTTTTGCAGCTGTGAGCTAGTCCCAGCAGAGAAGCAGCGGTGTAGCAGCATCTTTGTTGCCCTGTGCTCTTTCCTTTTTGTGGAATGTCTCTGCAATCTCTGAACGTGTATGCTCCCACCACACAGTGTCATTGCAATTTTTAGCTTCAAAAACCTGTGCCACAGTGTGGAAAACACTGTTCTTTGGTTGCCTTGGACAAAACTAACCATTGCAATAAACAGAAATTAAGCTTTGTTTCTTGAATGTTAATTTTGATTGCTCCAGTTTTCACTTTTATTATTTATACTTCAATTTTTTATAAGAAAGTAGGAGTCCCAGCACATCAGTGCTGCTGATGCAGTACTTATGAGGGATTGCTGACTAGCTTTGAGAAAACTATGAAACTTGTTTAACAAAATAAATCTGTCTGAAACAGTTTGTAAATGCACACAGCCTGTGATTCCTCACAGAAGTGTGTTGGTTGCTGCCACTTATAAAATCAGCCTTGTGACTTCGCTGGTAGGTGGTTGTTGAAGCATGGGAGTAGCATGAACGAGATGTCTAGAAAACAAGAAGCTCAGTTTAAATCTCAAAGCCTTTGATTTTTTTTCTTTTTACAAGTAAGTTTCCAAATTTTTAAGAAATTGGAGAAATTATCCTGTTTAGAAATAAACTATTTCATCCTCAGGGTGTTGTTGCCTTTAGAGAATGGTGATCACTGTATTTATCAATTAGCCACAGTCAGCGTGCCTGGGTCCCTTGCGTGAGCATCTCAACTGTAAAGATAGTTCTTCTGAGGGCACCTTGTGGTCCTCTCCTTAAATTGAATGTTATGATGAATAGCTACTTGGTGTGCTGAAGCACAGCTTGAGTTTTGTCTGGGTTTTTTTGGCAGAAAGCAAAGCAAAATGGGATTACTTTTGTTGTATGGCAAAGCACCTGTTTACATTAGAATTATACTGGACATGGCTCATGGTAGGAATATAGTCTCTCTGGAGATTGCTTTTTTGAGCTGGCAGTATTCATTTGCATATTACAAATTTGACATTTAGTTTATGGAAATAAATGTAAATAATGAGTAGCTTTTGAACTGGTCCACAAGCTTAGCAGCTGTCTCCTTTCAGCATGGAAAAGGGTTCAGAGGATTTGATTATTGCTTTCTATCTTTGTTGTGCATTACCTACTGCTCTTTCTGCAAAAGAAACATGGCTGGATTAATTGTAGAAAAGCATTAATGTCAGCTCCGTGAAACCCATGGAACAACTTTTCCAGTAGCCAGAAACGTACCACAGCAACAGGAGGAGCCCTGCGGAGATACGTGTTTCTCACTTACCTCTTACCATAAGTGTATTTGCTTTTTAGCAATCACGTTGGATACAGGTGCTGTTTTTTTAACAGTACCTGGAAGTAATTGGTTCCTCTGGGATAAAATAGGAATATATCTTATTTCTTGGCTAGGTAAACTAATTATCTTCTTGTCTTTGAATACAGTAAATAATTCATTATAATTTTGATATAATGTAAATACATTGATTACCTAAACAAGTAAGTTTTGTGTTTCTGTGAAATGGACTTAAAATACTGATGATACCTCATGGACAACATAGAGTTGAATCCTTTCTAAACAATCTTTAAAGATACTCTTGTTTTTATTTCTTACTACTTGTAAGAAAGAACAGATTTTTTTGTTGTTGTTTTGTTGGGGTTTTTGGTTGCATTGTTTTGTTTTATTATTTTTTTTCCTTAATTTACTATATTCCTTATCTACATCCCTCATTTGTGACACTGTACATTGGTTTCTGGGAAGGGAATTATACATTTACAAAGGAGACACACACAACAATACTCTTTCATAATATTTATTTTACAGGAGTTTTCACAAATATTCCAGTGGATAAAGAGGAAAATTTCTGCTCATAATCCTTTTCATATATTTACTTATAAATAGAACTGTTCCTTTCAGAAGCTTCCCGAGAGAAGTCAGTATCTGAATGATGATGCATTGGTGCTGCTTCTGCAATTGAAAAAAATTAGGTTTAGAAGGTTATAACAAAACAAATGAAAATACTTATAAATGCCTGAAGAAAATTGACTAGGATAACTACAAGTCTGAAATCTATTAAAAAGTAAAAACTAAATCTTTCTGTATTGTAATTTGAAGCCTGCATCTGATAAGTCGAAGTAGGTTCAGCTTTGATCAGTTGTGGGATGGCGCAAATCCCTCTTTGGGGTTTTGTAAAAATGTCACAGCTGGAGGGGAGAGGGAGAGGGAAAGGAGAGGAGAGGCCTTCTCAAGAGTGCAGTCTTATCGTTAGGATTTTAAACACTGATGCTAGAACAGCTTCAGAAACAGGAGGTTCCTGTAGCACAGTTTCTTTTCTTTCCCATTCTAACTTCTTCATCTATAATCAGAAGTATATAATTAAGCCTAAAAATAAATCTTCATAAGGGAATATCCCAGAAATAGCCGTTCAAGATCTTTTATGCCCAACTCCTGCTAAGATTTATGCAGATGATTAGCTTTAATCAAAGGGGAAGTACTATTGAAATCAGTGAAGCAGCTATGGTGTGTAAGGGTTAGTTTGTGATCAGATCCAATTCCTCTTATACACAGGAAGAACACTTGCACAGGATTTGCACTATAGAATGCAGATGGAACAGCATGAGGAAATCAAGGTTGTTCTGTGAACTCTGCTCAAAATGTCTGAGATTATGTTTTTACTTTCTGGAATGAGGAGCTGGGGGTTTTGTCAAGTCTCTTTGAAAGATAATAATTTGTATATAGGCTGTCATATTGAAAATTGTGTTTTCTTCTGTTAAAAAAACAAATGCTACTGTATTTTGTGCCCTAACAAGTCTCAGTGGATTGTGAGTTGTTTTACATCCTTCACTGTCAATATATTAGTGCAAATCCTTACAGTTCTTAAAGAACTACTATGCATAGACTTTTGTCCCATTTTAGAAGTTAAAGGTTATTGGTGTAATTTTATGCTGTAAATATTGGGTAAATCTCAGTTAATGACAAATGAGATACAAAAATTTCATCAGGATTTTGAAATGGATGAAAAATTATTTTCACTTCACTATAATCAATGTCCTGCATTGTCTCAAGTGTTTGGTGGTTCTTTCACAGACAGGAATCTGCCTGATGCCCAAAGTAACGTTGGATTATGGGGGGATGGCAAAGGTGAAGATGAGCTGTCACCTGAAGAAATACAAATGGTAATTTTATTATATTTTCTGCTGTATTCATATATGTTTAAAAAGTACGGATTCACCCAAATTAATTTTCAGTTTTCATTTTAGGCAGAATAATGCCATAACAAGATATACCTTTTGCACTTGGCTTCCTGGTTCTTCTTGTAGCAGCTCAAAATACTTACAAGGAGACATGAAATAAGTAACAACTGAAATTAAAATTGTTTTTTAAAATTACAATTATGAATTGCTTTTTTAGTCAGGAAACAATAGAAGTCAAGGCAATATCAGGAAAAGCATTACGAAACTTAAAAAGGAACGAAATGTTGGCTCTTTACTTGGACTATTTCTAGAACACACCTTAAATAGTTATACTGTTTAAGTGTAACTATTAACTTTGACTTCATTTTATTCCCTCTTTTTATTATCAAAATCAGATTGGTTTGCTAGAAGGAATAGCTACAAGCTTTCTGTCACAACAGAATCTCATGAATTTTACCTTTCCTGCATTTCCCTCTTATCAGCACGTTTATGTATTGTTTGATCCAATTCTATTTACAGTTGAACTGATATAAAATTTCTGACATAGGTAATTTCACTCCTAACAGACTTTAAAGTCACTGGATCCATTATTCTAATTTTCAAGTAAATTTGGGTCCAAGCTCTAAATATAACTGGGAAATAACTTGAGTATTTGCATATGTATTGCTTTTCTAATTGCTCACATAAATCCTTCATACTAACTTGGCAATATTTAGTGGCTTCATTGGGCTTTTAACGCATGAATCAAAGGGTTTTTACAAACATATAACAAATGCTCACAGCTTCAGTTAATTTATTAATTCAAAGGAAACTCCTCTACGGTATGTTTGCTGTTACAGAGAAGTTAATTTCTACTTTTTTAACATTTGATTTGTGAAGAGTGGACCAATTGCATTAAAGTTACTCAGAAAATCCAGCATTTCTCCAAAGAGGGTAGATTACAGCATAGAAACTGCTGTGTTGGTTTTAAATTGGAATGTGTTGTGCCAAATCATACTTAACAATTGTCAATCATGGTTCTGTGATCCTTCCTGTGGACAAAATAATGAATTAAAGCCCTGTCATATTGCTACAGCAGCAATTTCTATCAGTATTTTACCCACAGGAGAGAGCTTTATGTTGTCAAAATGATTGCAGGCTATTGTGTGATTTGCACAAGAAATTTCAGTTTATAACCTTGAGTACATGTGTATTAATGTTTTTTATAGTTGTTGTGAGTAGATGTCTTGTGATTGCATTGAGTGGGGAAAAAATCTGGCTCTGCTGTTTGAGTTGTAAAAATAACAAATTATCCCTGACTTTATCTTTTGTTTTGTTTTTGTCTTAAATTCAGGTACAGTCTGTATAATGACTCTTCTCATGAGATAACAAAAAAGAACTGTGATTATTTCTTCAGTGCATTAGATCTTTAGACATATCTTAAGCAGTTTGTCACTTTATTCCATACTTATGACAGTGGAATATTCTGTTACCAAAAGAGAGGCTATTTTAATAAGTCATAAATTATTGAGCTATACTGATCGCTGGAGTTTGGTTTATGTTCCCATCATGTAAATCCCTTGGTGTCACACTGCTGTATGATGTGTTCTGTGCTCTAACCTTTTGTTCAATTGACTGTTTTAGCATATATTACTGCTGTCTGCGCCAAGTGGTCCATCAGCCAAGATTTCAAATTGCAAAGATCATTTAGCTGTTTAAAAGGCAATCTGTGCCAGTGGAGGGTTTTAAATATCAAAGGGACTTTTTAAAGAATACTTTCTCAAGTGGATTTGTGCTATTTGTAAGGGATTAAAGTCATTCACTGTTTCTTTATTGAAAATTTGCTTTCCAAATTAGTTATCATCTGAGTTTTACTAAGGCAGCAAAATAGGCAATTTTTGATGTTGAGTATTTGTGCAGAAATGCTTATCCTTACAGAAGTCAGAAAAACAATTACAGCTTGTTGCCCCCATTTAGTCACTTAGGGATAAACCAGTCAACTCGGTGCTAAATCTCGTGGCCCTGTTCCTTGGCTTTGTTTGAGGTGGCTCCACTAAAACCAGAGACATACAGTGGTGTGAAGGTGAAGGAGTGCAGTGGTGAAACATCTTTAACCATCTGCCACTGTGAAGTAAATATCAGTGTATTAGTCAATTATATTTTAACAAGTGCTCTGCTCTGTACAAGGAGCCACTACAGACAGCAGTGACAGTGACACTTGAATGTATCACTTGACACTGATACTTTTTTATTTAACAAAACCATTGGATCTTTAGGGTGGAAATCAGTGAGACTGTGCAGTGAGACTGTGCAGTATTTTCTTTTCTGCTCCCCCTTGACCCATGGGGCTGGGCTCTTTCCCCAAGGCCTCTACCCCACAGCGAAGGTGACAGTGCCTGACAGCCACCCTCCTTGTCTGTGATCTTGGACTCTCTGGAGTCCTTTAAGCAAGGAGAGAAAGCTGTTCTTGTCAGTCGGGTAGGCAAGGAACCTCTAGTACAAAAATAAATTTGTATTTTAAAAGAAATAAAAAATTTTTCATCATTCTTTGTGATGTAAATTGTGTATGTCAGAAGACTAAACCCAGTGAATCTATGAGATTCACTGTTACCCTTCTTCAGACATACTTGTCATTCACGCTTCTCCTAAATTAAACCTACAAATTTCTGTTTTTTAACTCGGTAACCATTTCCCTCTAAGTCATGGAGTTTGACTTTTAACTTGCTGTTGGCGGAGACTCGGGTACTGTTTCTCTAAGGTCCTGATGGGCCTGAAACAAAATGAAAAATGTTACAGCACAAAGCGTGGGGGACAGTGGCAATTGTGTGGGGTGTGAGAAGGAGGGACTGAAGGTGAAGGGTATGAAAGGTGACTTGCCTTTTCTTGTTTTATCGCTTTTCTGTGTAGGTCTGTGCAAAAGTCTTGCTCAGCTCCTACTATCCACTCTCCCTTAAGCCCGCCCTATCATCTGGTCCTGCAGTGGGATTCAGTTTACTAATCTACCAGAAAACTCAGGAGGAAAAAGTGGTTAGTGAGCTAAAATATCACACTGTGAAATCAGACAAGGAGCAGCACTTACTTAGGACTGTGTATGTGGGGAGAGAGAGGAGCAGGACAAATTCCTCAGTGGCTGCACTAGATCTTTTTTTCCTTCGCCTTGAACAGTATACACACTTTATTTTTGTTGTTTCAAATTTTTTGTTTATAGTTTGTTGGGTTTTTTTTTCAAAGACTTACTATCTTGTCTGGGCAACACCTCTTTTTCCTGCAGGCTTAAGCGTTGGACATATGCTCAGATAGCAAACAATTCCTATTGCACTCAGTGAAAACCCAGTCTGAGCTGTGAGCAGTGCTGCTCTGTTGGCACCTTGTCTCTGACAACACACTGCTCTGTCTTAAAAAGGATAATGAGACCTTCCAAGGTGGCTGAGAGCACTGCAGTGCTTTTACTGCTAATGAAATTGTAACGTGATTAAATTATGCCAAAATCCCAGTGTGCTATGTAGGCTAGTTCAAAATAAGGAGATTAGCTGGACTAGAACAGGCCTTGCTGTCTTGCACGGCTCCTGTGTCAAATTCTTTGCATTCTGAATCCTGTTTTCTGGTGTTAGCGCTGCTGCGTGGATCACTCAGGTTCGTCAGAGGCGTGTAGCAGGTGATGTTTTCAGTAGAAACTTACATTCTTTGTGCTGTTTCTGTATAAACCGTGTAGACCAGGACTTTCCCACCTTTGTGAGAAAAATGCAAAGATCACAGAATTGCAGGGGTTGGATGGGGCCTCAGGAGATCGTCTAGTCCAACCCCCCTGCCAAAGCAGGTTCCCTACAACAGGTTGCAAAGGAAAGCGTCCAGGCAGGTTTTGAACATGTCCAGAGATGGAGACTCCACAACCTCTCTGGGCAGCCTGTTCCAGTCCTCTGTCACCCTCACAGTAAAGAAGTTTTTCCTTAAGTTTGTGGAGAACTTCCTGTGTTCCAGTTTTTGCCCATTGCCCCTTGTCCTGTCACTGGGTACTACTGAAAAAAGCCTGGCCCCATCCAATTGGCCCCCACATATAGACATTGATAAGATTCCCTCTCAGTCT